TGATTGGGGGAGGAGCAGAGAGAGAGAGGGAGACACAGAATCCAAAGCAGGTTCCAGGCTCCGTCCGAGCTCCCAACACGGGGCTCGAACCCACAAACTGCGAGATCACGACCCGAGCCCAAGTCAGACGCTTAACCGACTGAGCCACCCAGGTGTCCCTTTGTGACTATCCTTTGGGCCTTGGGCAAGTCACTCTGCTCTCTGAGCTTCAATCTCCCAGTGGCGAGTTTGGGGATCAGTTTATAAGACAAGGACTTGCCTTCGCAACAAACTGTCTTATTCACAGTTCTCACCATCACGCACACCCTGTGCAGGAATTCAAAGTGTTCTGACACCTTTGATCTTGAGCACAGAACAGACGCTGTGTTGTTGCACACGGTGACCAGCGCTAAGATAAAGTGGGATAAGGGGCTGGAAAGTGACAGGTGTCAGGGAGGAAAGCCACTGAATCAGGTCAGGAGATTCAGCTGTTCCAGGGCTGAAACCGGGCTGGGCAGAAATATGAGCAGATGTGAAGGCCCTGAGGAAGGACGGGGTGGTCCATGTGGACAGAGCCCAAGGAACAGGGCAGCCCATGGAGGGCTCTGGGGTCAGGAGGGGAACAGGGTCCATGTCACACGAGACGCTGATCAGCTGTGGAGAGGGGTACAGACTTTACCATAACAGAGATGGAAGCTTCTGGAAGGTTTGGGGCAGGGCAGTACCTTGATCTGACAGAGGCACTGGAGAGACCAGCGAGCAGCTACTACAAATACAATGCCTCTTATATATGAAGCCAGCAAACCCGGGACCAGGATGGGAGCGCACACGGTGCCCCAGGTGGCCAGGGAGCTGGTGACAGCGCCACACCCGGCCGTCCTTCCTCTCCCTGCCCAGCCGGCAGCCCAAGGCCAAAGACTGAGGGGATGCACCCCAATCCTAACTCAGATAGGAGTTACTGGAGAGAGAGGAACACCTCATTCCTGAGCAAGTAATAGTAATTCCAGTGGCAGTGATAATTTGAGAGCAGAAATACGGAATTCCTCTAAAGAAAGAGAATTAAGTCTTACTCAACAAAGGGAAGGCGCAGGACAAATGTGTGTCTGATGTGACCGAACATTCTGTTCTCAGCTCCTAACGCCAAGGAGAGGGAGAGAACTCTCCGAAGGCCTGTTAAACACCCACACTGAGGACCAGACCCTGATGCTTCTGAAAAGTGTCCAGATAATTGCTGAAGTCCTAAAGCAAAGGGCAGTTGTGAAAATTAGTGATCATTTGGGAAATTTGTCCGGTTGAGGTCAGAGATTCAGTAGTTAGCTTATGTGGCTTTTCTTAAAGATGCCTTATTGTATTTTTTACAAAGTATAAAAGCCTCAACTTATCATTTTGACATGAAGAAAGCCGTCCTTCCAAGGGTTTTGAGTTAAGGAATCCTGATGGCTCACTTTTTTAATTCTTTTTAATGTTTATTTATTTTTAGGAGACAGAGACAGAGCACAAGCAGGGGAGGGGCAGAGAGAGAGGGAGACACAGAATTTGAAACAGGCTCCAGGCTCTGAGCTGTCAGCACAGAGCCCGATGTGGGGTTCAAACCCATGAACCACGAGATGGTGACCTGAGCCGAAGTGGGACACCTAACCGACTGAACCACCCAAGTGTCCCAAATTCCATCTCTTGGAGAGAGCTGTTCCCAAGCTTGGCTCCCCTCTACAAAAAGCAAGATGCAGGCGTTCGAACTGAGGCGGTGTAGCCTTGCTTCTCAGGGGCCGGCCTCCCTATTGGAAGAGCGGGGCACCCATTCCTCACGCTGAGCTGAGAGCCAAAGTCCACCCTGTTGGGGTCACTTACAGACCAGACTCCAAAGACCCTTCTCTCAGAAGATGCTCCTAAGATCCAGAGGTGGTGACCTGGTCATCTGAGGCTTCCTGCTGATGACAAAGGCAGGGAAGACCCAGGAATTCAGCTCCTGGGGGCCCAGGGGAGTTAAGGAAAGGGCAGGGGGGGCCTCTGTGCCTTCTGCTGAAAAGGTAGGGGGGGTCAGCATCTTTTTCTTCATTTACGGATCCACTGGCCATCCCTCCAGCACAGCAGTTAAAAGCAGACCTTTCTCTTAAAATTTAAAATGGACATATCTGGGTGCCTGGGTGGCTCAGCTGGTTGAGCGTCCGACTCTTGATTTCGACTCAGATCATGATCCCAGGATCATGGGATCGAGCCCCACATCCAGCTCCACGCTGAGTGTGGAGCCTGCTTAAGATTCTCCCCCTCCCTCCTCCCTTCTGCCCCCCAAAATAAAAAATAAAAATAAAATAAAATGGATGTCTCCACTTAGTTAGCCATTCCCTTTAGAGAAGGAATAATTGCAAACATACTCGTGTATAATGTGGACCTCAAGTTAAGAACCTCTACTGTTAAAACATTATGAAAAAATTTGTAAATTATGAAAATAGGGGCGCCTGGGTGGCTCAGTCAGTTAAGCGTCCGACTTCAGCTCAGGTCATGATCTCACGGTTTGTGAGTTCAAGCCCCGCATCGGGCTCTGTGCTGACAGCTCAGAGCCTGGAGTCTGCTTCGGATTCTGTGTCTCCCCCTCTCTCTGCCCCTCCCTTGCTCACACTCTGTCTGTCTCTCTCTCTCTCAAAAATAAATAAACATTAAAAAATTAAAAAAAAAAAAAAACGTGTAAAAGTGTCCGACTCTCGATTTTGGCTCAGGTCATAATCTCACAGTTTCGTGAACTCGAGCCCCAAGTTGGGCTCTGTGTTGACAGTGAGGAGCCTGCTTGGGATTCTCTCTCTCTCTCTCTCTCTCTCTCTCTCTGCCCCTCCCCCACTCATGCTCTTTCTCTCTCAAAATAAATAAATAAACTTTAAAAAAATCTTTTAAACATGTAGAAGTGTTAAATATATATCATGATGGCTGACTGAAGTACAGTCTGTAGTAGTTAAAACGAGGAAACCAATTTAAATATCCGTTAGTTGAGGACAAGGGGCATCAATGATGATGTTTCACTGCAATGAAGGGGCTTTGAACAGCCGTTAAAAAGGAGGTGGCTGTACGGAAAGTGATTGCAAAATATCGTTCTGGGGGGAAGCAAGTCGCAGGACAAAAGAACACCATCTGGTCTTTGTTTAAGAAAATGCATATATGTGTGTAAGAGGAGCAGAGTCCATTATAGAGGAGGCACAGAGGAGACGTACCGTTAATACTAATAATGGGATCATGTAGGTGTAATTCGAGAGGAACAATGCTCAATTTCTGTAATATTTGGGATTTTTTTTTTTTTTTGGACAGTGAGTATATATCACGTTCTTCCTAATAACAATGACAGCAATAACAATGAAAGGTAGAATGAAAAATCTAGAAAACAAACAAGCCACCCTCTCCCCGGCGAGCTCTGCAGCCTGTGTGGCCCAGGACCAGAATCGCTGCCACATTCGCGGGTCCCAGCAGAGCAGCTGCAAAGCTGATTCTGGGCATTGGCTGCACGCTGAGCCCTGTAGGGGGCACCACTGTGCAGGCAAGGGCCCCGACCCCTGGGCTCATCCATCCTTGGTGATGAAAACACACCCAATTTATGATGACCCTGGGATGGTTAATCTGTGTCACTCTGGCTAGACCAGAATACCCAGATATTTGGTCAGACACGAATGGGGGTTGCCGTGAAATTTTTTTTTTTTTTT